AGTAGCCAAGGCGGTGGGGGCAAACTGGAAATTACATTGTGCTTATAGGCCCCAGAGCTCAGGACAGGTAGAAAGAATGAATAGAACCCTAAAAGAGACCCTTACCAAATTAACCATGGAGACTGGCGGGGACTGGGTGACTCTCCTACCGTACGCCCTTTACCGGGTTAGAAACACTCCTTACACTCTGAGTTTTACTCCCTACGAGATCATGTTTGGCAGGCTACCCCCTGTTATTCCCAGCCTTCGAGCTGAACTTCTTGCTGAGTTTAAAGCTCAAGAACTTTTTCTTTCCTTGAGCGGGCTCCAGAGGGTGCACGAGGACATTTGGCCGCGCCTCCGTGCCATCTACGAGGCTGGCCCAATCCCGACACCTCCTCAGTACAGGCCGGGAGACTGGGTCTACGTCAAGAGGCACCACCGAGAGAGTCTCGAGCCGCGCTGGAAGGGACCCTACATCGTGGTGTTGACAACCCCCACCGCTCTCAAGGTAGACGGCATCGCGACCTGGGTCCATCACACCCACGCTCAGCCAGCAGACCCCTCCTCGATCCGGAAGGACGTTGTCACACGATGGGCCATCAGTCGGGACCAACACAACCCGCTCAAGCTCAAGCTACAGCGCATTTGACCTACCTAATATTGGTAACTCTGTTAAATCTGCTTGTCATTGCTCATGCTGCCGGGAGTCCCCACGCCCCCAAAACATCACCTGGCAGATCATAGACACCAGCTCGGGGACAATACTTAATCAGATGTCCCAGAGCCACCCCAGGGACACTTGGTTCCCAGAACTTTGCGTAAACCTCCAACTCTGTTCCCCTTGTCACCATAAATGCAGCCGGTCCCATGATTGGGTCCCTAAGCTACATGACAAGGGGGGAATGAAAGGGCGGGCCTACGCCAGCCGACTCCATCTTGTTCTGTGTCCTTCACCTTGACCACACCTCCTCCCCTTGAGTAACCCCCCCTCACCTGCCTAACAGGACTCGGACCCTTCCCCAGGACCCTTCCCCAGCCAATCGGCTGAGGCCATAGCCATTACCTCACCAACTGCCCCCAGGCCCCAATAAAACCTTTGTCCTTTTGAAACTCGCTCTCTTTCCCTGGTATCTCACCGCTGCGTTGGTGCAGGTAGGGGATTGAGCTCGAGCTAGCTCGAATAAAGGCTCTTTGCTTTGCATCGGACTCGGCTCCCTAGTGGTCTTTGGGGATCACGAATTCTGGGCATAACAGTGCCTTCTTTCTTCAGAGAAGGTCTGCATTTACTTCTGTGAGGTGCCTAGGAATTAACCAGTCCAGGATTGCTTTCTACATTCATGGTTTGAGATTTTGTGCCATTAGGTGATGTGAACTTGGGGCTTAAAGCCGTACAACTCTAACTCCTAAAGGACCTGATTGGTATCCTGGTCATCACTGTTTCCCAGGAGAGCACAATTTTGCAAAAAGAGACTACCGCGTCTCCCTTAGACACAATGTCTCCTGTTCGGCCTTGGGAAAGTAGCTCTCAAATTTTAACATGTCCGAAGAGCCCATTAAAAGATGCAGATTCTTAGGTCAATACCTGAGATTATGATTCAGCGGGTGGAGTTGTGGCCCAGGAATATGCATTTTTAACAATCATCAAAGATGATCTGTGTGTAGGTGGCAAAAGTCCACACACTGTAAGAAACAGTCTTTAGTCTTTAGATCTCGTAGCTTCATTGGGTCCATTGTGGTGAGACGGCAAAAGGCAAGCTGAGGACAAAGCACAAGCTAATACACCACAACACCCCCCCTTGGGTAGGATATGTGTGACATTCCTCATGCACTCCTGACTCCCCAAGAACAAAGGGAAAAACAAATGGTTAACTGATAGAGATCACAGTTTTGAAGGACATGAATCTCCATCAACTTGAACTATCTTAACGATTTACAAGAAAAAAGCAATCTCCAGCAATCTATAGACTCAATTTCCTGGGACCCTAACGTCACTCTCTCCTCCGTAAGTTAGATCATATATAATCAGTCACTCCTCACAATCCCAGTGCAGCTCTTTGTGCCCATGGGTCCTGTCCCCGTGCTGTAATAAAAACACCCTTTTTGCACTGAAGATGTCTCAAGAATTCTCTTGGCCATTGGCTCCTGAGCCCCACTTCAAACCACATCAATTGTACAACCTCGTGGCTCTCTGTCTCCCTGGAGGGGAAGACATTCATTACATCGGTTCAATAACTTCTTATCTCTTTATATTCATGGACCCACCTACTTAAGTCTATTGTTTGGACCATGGTATAGGAAGGAGCACTAACTATGTGCCCTGCAGATATGACTCTGAGTGAAATAATAAGAGCAAAAATACCTTGCATGCTGTGGTGCTGTGATTTATAATAAATACATATTTGGTTGTCCAGTTTCTTGCACAGAGTTCCTAAAATTCCAGGAATTTCCTAAGTGAGAAATGTCCTAAAGTTTATCTCTTTTGTTAAATGTCCTTTGTTATGTTATTGAGGTGACATGGAAAGTCCCTGGGTCACCTAAGGATGGGGGCTTGTTGCCAGGGGAAACAATCATGTGATTGGATGACTGGAACTTTCAGTTCCACCCCTTGATTTCCAGAGAGGAGAGAGGGGCTGGAGGCAGAATCAGTCAAAATGGCTAGTGAATTACTCATGCCTATGCGATGAAGCCTCCCTAAGACACAAAAGGATGTGGTTTGGAGATCTTCGAGGTTGGCGAACACACGAAGGTACAGCAAGAGTGGTGTGTCCGGACAGGGCAGGGAGGCTGTGTGCCCCTCCCTACATACCTTGCCCTATGTACAGGTATCACATCATCTGGCTATTGATTCATATCCTTTAATATCCTTTCTAATAAACCAGTTATCTAGCGAGTATATGGGTTTCCTGAGTTCTGTGAGCTGCTGTAGCAAATCAATTAAACCCAAGGAAGGGGCCGTGGGAACCTCTGATTTATAGCCAGTCTTGTTGGAAGTATGGATGACAGCCTGGGCATGCAATTGGCACCTGGAGTGAGGTTAGTCCCGGTGGAATCTGATGCTATGTCTGCGTAGACAGCGTCAGAACTGAGTTAATTGCTTGGTGGTGATGTGGAAATGTTGGGAGTTTGGGGCCGACAGCCGAGAAAGAATTCTTGCTGAGAAGGCCATGCTGCATGTTGGCTTGCCTTGCTGAGAAGGCTGTGTAAGAACCCACTGTTTTTAACCCATGGAAAACACTGGAAAAGTTTTACAAGGTGAAATTACCCAATTTTGTAATTTAAGTAGTCAGTAGAGGACATTGACAGGAAACAGTAAAGATAGAAATCCATCATGGTCTAGGCAATATTCCCACACATGTCTTTACAACCAACTTCCTAGGAAATGGTCCTGGTTGGGAATTGGTCAGCTCTGAGTGGAGGCCCCTGGGACCAGAAGCGGCTAGACCAGAGATGTGGAGGGGATCACATTAGACCAATGAGGAGGAAAACTTTTTTTTTTTTTTTTTAACATTTATTTATTTTTGAGAGAGAGAGAGAGAGAGAGGAACAGAGCACGAGCGGGGGAGGGGCAGAGAGAGGGAGACACAGAATCCAAAGCAGGCTCCAGGCTCTGAGCTGTCAGCACAGAGCCCGACGCGGGGCTCAAATTCACGAACCACAAGATCATGACCTGAGCTGAAGTCAGACGCTCAACCGACTGAGCCATCCAGGCAACCCTCATACGGGAGTCTTAAGATTGGCAGCCATCCTTGTGACTTTGGTGGCTGTCCTGTGACCGAGACTGACCACTTTTTGTATAAGGACAGAAACAAAGAGAGGCATCAAGTTTCTGGGTCTTATTACCATTCCGGCCAGGGTACTAATTTCCAGCCAAAAAGCAGGCTTTCTCCTCCCCACAGAGTAGCCATGGGTTAGAGGACTGCAGCCTGAGCAAACGACGTGAAAGTGTTCCAAAAAGACCATACTCCCTGAAAAGCCCCTGAAATGAAAGTAAAGAGAGAGGAGAGGAAATACTCACCAAATTTGCACCAAGGCTCAAAGTCCAGACAAGAAGACTCAAAGCCCCACATAAGACACCGAAATGACGAGGTCTGAAGTGTTGGGATTTGGAACCAATGGCCAAGAAAGAATTGAAACATCTTCGGTACAAAAAGGGTGGTTTTATTGAAGCACAGGGACAGGACCCATGGGCAGAAAGAGCTGCCCTGGGATTGTGATGAGTGACTGATTACATACTTGGGAACTGGGGGAAGTAAAGATAAGGGGAAGTTCCCGAAAGGATATACTAAAGAAGACTCCGAACCCTGGAGGCCTAGCAATTGTCAAGCTCAGGTTGTTTTTCCCTCTAGCAAAGCATTAAAATCAAGACAGTTGGGAGTCCCTGGAAGAAGGTCATATTCTGCCCGCCTCAAGTATCTGTCAATGGGCTGCAAGTTAGAAGGAAATTTAATTTTACCTACATTTCCTATTGCCTTTGTTCCCCCCCCACCCAGCACTGGTGTGGGAATTGGTATCGGTATATACACTTTGAAGAAAGTAATGATGGAAAAGGCCTGATTGATGCAGAAATTTGTGTACCTTCTCTTCCTGCTCCTTGGTTGGGGCTAGAACTAAGCAGAGGCATCATTTTCTTGGTGTGAAGCTTGGACTGAAACACACCAGGGGAAGCCAATTTGCCCTTCTCTAAAAGTCATTTTTGGCTCCCACCTACCCTGGGTTGAGTTGGAAATGTGTGAATTGAAGCCTGAGTTGAGAATGAACTGGGGCCTTCAAGCTCTTAAACACTTGTTACTCGAGAGAATGTGTAAGAAAGGACTTTTAATCCTGTACTATGTGTAACATATGTAATACATGTAGCATATGGAAGGTAAAACTTACCAGAAATATGAATGGGAAGTAGGTAATCGAGAGAGAAGAAACTATGTATTCTCTATCAAATTCAGAACTCTAAAAATTAAGCAAAAACTATAGCAAGCCAAGAAAAAAAAAAAAAAACCCGGAATTTGACCAAACTTAATAAATGACTTTAACTCAATTTATTGCAACATCACTATGTCCGTGCAGGTCTGGTTTCCCTGGTATCTTGAGGAGAACATTTTGGGTAAAAGCCATACCTGATGCTCAGCCATAAATCTCATGCTTGAAAATGATAAAGTTCTTGATTCCAGTTAATTTTTTTTTCTCTCTCTTATATTATTCATGCTCCTGTCCCTTTGGAAATTGGAATGTAGAATGCAATGTGGCAAATGTGAAGAAGTGGGAAAAGCTGTTGGAAAATGATCTGATGTCAATTTATTGTTCTCTTCGGAGTAGAGCCATCCTTTCCCCAGTGCTTGAGCCTGGATCTTCTGCCTCAGGCGGCGGACGAGAAGGCGGCTGTCACCGCTGCATTCCTAATGGCCTCTCTTGTTAGGTGGACCAGCGATCCCCACTCGGGGATCCCCACAGGGGTCAGATGTGTTTGGACGTGGAGAATGGGTGGGCTGGGTCCCCCAGAAGCCTATTCAGGTGAGGCCCTGTGGATCAGACAGGATGACTTTGAGCTTAGCTGCCGGAGAAGAGCCAGGTGCCCCGACGTGGGCCAGCCCTTGGATGTGTGGCTGGGTTCTTTGGAAGGCAGGGGCATCTTCTGCTAAAAATGTCAACAAGACGATAAGACAGTGAGCACAGCAGCCTGGTTTGGGGTCCGTTAATTGAGAAGAACACAGTGGAAAATAGGGGATTCTCCCCAGATTCACCACACATCACCAAGTGGCCTGGTTTTCGGGCAGAGTATAGAGGTGTTGGGGGAGCTCTGTGGGTGGACACCACCACAGAGAGAGGTTGCGCCGCATAGTCAAGCAGTGGCTTTGTTCAAGGGCCTCGTGGAAGTACACCTCTTACTCAGGAACAGTACCTTGGAGACCAAAGCCCTCTGTGAGCAGGTGGGAGAAAAACCCAGAGCAAATGTGGGTTACTGCTGGCCGTATGTTAAGGTTATTTCATTGGCCCAGCAGGCCTGTGGGGCCCAAGGAAACTTGGGTTGCATAAAAAAGGAAAAGCATACTGTAGTTGGCAAACAAAATGTGTCTTTGTGTGTGAGAGTGTGTGTGTGTGAGAAATGAGCTTTCATTTAGAAGCTTTGGCAGTGGTTTCAGCCAGTTCCCCAGCACTTTTAAAATGATATTTTCTGAGCCTGGAAACCAAGCAGGCAGATCATGGAATTTTGGCTGGAGATGTTTTTAAAAAATGTAGGCTAGCAGTGAAAAAGGAGGCGGGATTTTGGTGGGGAGGCCTTTATGGGCTGCAGAGCAAACCAAGCAGGGTTACCATGGTGGTGCTTCTTCTGTTTATATAAACAAAGGTTTTTCCTGACAAACATACTTCATGTTTAATAATCCTCAATCCACAGGGGCCTCTGCTCTTTGTGTGTAGCTAATTCATGCCATTTGGACTTGGGTAGAATTTCATTATTGTGTGTGTGTGTGTGGTTTTTTTTTTTTTTTTTCCAGGCACCCAATACACTTCAAAATTAAGTGTGGAGTTCCGATATCTGAAGTGCAAGGGTGGGAGGGGTTTAGTGATTGCAAGAGAGACTAACCTGCCAGATGAAAGCGTAAAACCAGACCTTTTGTGATCTAAAGTCTATTGGATCAGCCTACACCGACAATTCAGAAGCACAGACTTGTACTCCAACTACCTAATTTTTCTGTCGCTCTTAAGAGCACCGGGGTCCTCCCAATCAATCACGCTTCATATTGCCATTGCCTGAGATGTCGCCCTCTTGTTGGCCCACATCCAATCATTTGTGAAGTCTCTGCAAGCTCTCGTATCGCAAGAGGACTCGTTTGGTTATGAGTAAAGAAAAATCCTACTCTCTTGCACTGAAGCACAAAAGTGGATTTACTGGAGCATGTCACTGGAAAGGCAGGATGGATCTAGTGGGCTTCAGGAACTGCTGGATCCAGCTTGCCTGCTCCTATCTGGAGAGGGTCCCAGATTCTGGCACATCTGATATCGTTTGCTCCCCACAGTCTCCAGGAAGACAGTCCGAGAAACTTAAGGCCCGAGAAAGGAGACTTATAGAGTGCTTTCAGGCATCCTTTTTCCAAGGAACATGGAGTGATCAGGAATCTCCACAAGCTTGGGTAAAGCTGTTTGTATTTTTCTCCCTCCTGAATATCTGGACACATCTCTAGACCTGTGTAGAGGCTCAGCAGCCTGTGGGGGGCTCTTCAGTTGTTGCCTCATCACTGCCTTCTGGGGTCTCCAAGACCAGCAGGGAGCACTGAGGGGCCATGTCCAACTATGGGCACCAGACTTCCCTACTGATGCCCTTCCACCATTTCCCTGATGAATAAACTGGTTCTATTCCGAGGGTGGCAAAGTGCACGATGTATATATGCATGGCACCAGGATTCCAGTGATCAAGATGAAACCTGACTGTGTCCCCTGCGTATCCTCAGGAGCAGCTAATCTGGGGTCCATCCATTAGCTTTATTTCTTCAACTTCAGGGTCCCTTACAACTATAGGACCTCAGTGTCTACCACCACCCCAAATGACACAGGCATTTCTGAAAGTTCTCAGGAGTTTTACTCATGTGTCTGGGGACAAATCCATCCATGTCTTCCGCCAGGTCTGGGTTGGATGCCTGCCACACCTATTGCGCCCTCTCCTCAGGGCCACGCCTGGCTTCATGAGCACCTCCCTGGTCACCCCACCGTTCCAGATCCTCGATGTACTACAGGGCTCAGCGTCTGGGGTGGGTGAGGCTGAAACAACACCATGATGTCCACTCTGTCGTCTTTTGCTCTACTGTCTCCTTTTCAAGTTCCTTCTCCAGGTATCTCCATTTCCCTCTCCCCATATGAACACCACAGGCCCTACTATTCCAGGCTTCTGTCCTCACTACCTGCCATTTTAACAGGTGACCAGCCAGGCACAGAAAGACCTCCAGAATCACAAAGTCGGTTGGTGACCACTAGGGCTGGTATCCAGATGTCCTCATTCTCTGCTTTTCCCCTCTATAACCAATTAGCACTTTCTCAGTAAAAAATAGTATTCGAGAGCACTGTTGGTTTAAAATATTAAAATTTAAAAAAAGGTACCTTGCCAATATAGCAAGGGTTTTAGTTTTGGTATTCTAATTTGAGACCCATGGGAGGCAGTGGAATAATACTGACTGGCTAATTGCATGAGGGTCCTAAGGGAAGTCACTTAAGGTGAGAGGGAAAGGACAACTTTTGAGTAAGGCTGAGTTCAGGGGGCACAGAGCACCAGAGCTTTATCCCTGAGGGCCTCCGCCAGCGGCCATGTTGAAGGTCAGAGCTGAGTATTGGGAATAGAGGGAGACCAATGGACAGAGAAAGGGTCAGCTTATGTCACAAGGTGGCCCAGACTCCCTGGGGTATGTTGAACTAATTGTTGGAACCTGTCGCGGTCTACAGTATCCACAATTCTGCAGGTGGGGTTGAACCAGAACAAAGCTATTTTGTGTTGTTATTGTGCCCCTCTTGTACCCCCGCGCCCCAGGAAGGTGTGACTGGCTGGAAGCACTGGCTTGCTCAGGAGGACAAAATAAACCTGGGGGAAACCCGAGTGGTGCCCAGGAAGAAGACAGTCGCCATGACGGCCAGAGGCCACCAGGGGGCACTGCCTCCCCAAGCCTGTCTCAGCGCAAGCGGGCAAAGTAGCGCGGAGTCGGGACGAAGGAGACAAACACAGTCACCAGGCAAGGCCCTTTCTCCGTCTTCTTGTCCTTTTCTTCCCTGCGGGGCGCACCGCGCCGGCCGTAAGGGGGCGCGGAACCTCAGGGCCGCCTTGGGGAGTCGCGCGCGCTGCGGGCCTGGCCGGGGCGCCCTCCGAGCCCTCGCGGCCCCTGCCTCCCCCAGCTCCCTGAGCTCACGCACCGCGGCCTCCCACCGATCCTCCCGGGAAACTGGGGAACGACCGCCAGGCAGGCGTCAGGCACTTCTTAGGCCCCGCGGGCGCCGGCCGTCCCGGATTTCGGTTCTGGAGGGGAGGGGCAGAGGTCGTCCCGCGACTCCTCCCGCGCTGCCGCCGCCTCCACCTGTGTCTGGAGCCCCGGACGCACCCGGTCGACCGGATGGTGCTTCAGTCAGCCCAGACCTGCCTCTGGGAGGAAGGCTGACCGGGCCTCCCGCCGGGCCACATCTGTCTCCGGCACCCCCGGGTGTGGCCGGGATAACGGGGACTGTGACCCGAGCGACAGAAGCTGCAGGGGCGCGCAGTGGCCACAAGGGGGCGTGTGGAGACTCCAAAAGGGCAATGGTCGCTGGTACCAGAGTGGTTCTTTGAGGCCCCAGTCGGCCACAGTGACCGGGCAAGCACGGTATCGCTTTGGACCAGCTCCTTCCCCGCTGCTCGCTCGGAAAATCCCCAAGAGTGCTCTGAACACAAGAGATGAATATTCCCCTGTAAAATGAGGCCATCCTGCCTCCCATCCAGGGTCAGGGCAGGGGTAAACGAGCTGGTGTCAGGGCACCGGCCCCTAGACTGAAAACTTTCTCTCTGCCCTTTTAGATTTCTGTGGTTTCTTGCTGCCCCCTTGACTGGATGCAGCAAATGGCTGTTGCCTGGGACAGCTGGGCCTGGAGTCCTGGCTTCCTGCCGAAAAGGGAGCAGCGGAGAATTGGGCTCTGCCTTCCGGCTGGGCTGGTGGATGACCACTCAGGTGCGTGCCTTAAATTAGGTGCTACGTTTACACACAAAAGGCCCCCTACGGTTGTGCCAAGCCCCAGGCCCTCTCTCTTTCCTACTTGTTGGTGGCTAAAGCCCATGTCGTACCCACCATTTTAGATCCTCAGGAAGCTGACATCCCCCAGCCATAAGTATGAGCGTTTGCCATTTGATTGCAAATTGCAGTTTTCTGGTGGTTTATAGCTCAGGTTTTGAAAGCAAGAAAGTGAATCTGCCTGTAAATAGCTTGCTCAAAATTGTTCTCTCCTGCCTGTTTTCTCTTTGGCTCCTACTCCTTTGGCACAAGGAACACAGCAAGGCTGGGCTGATTTTTCAGTCCACAGCTACAGGGGGGACAAGAAAAGAATGTTGGTGTCCCCAAGGTCAGTGTGTTGTCTGTCTCAGGTCCTGGGCTGTGGTGTGACCAGAGCACCTTTGTCTTGTCAACTGAAAGAAAAAGAAAAAAAAAGGCAAAACTGAAAAAGAACAAAGGCCTTTATTTTGGGTCTCAGAATTGCAGTTTGGGGAGCAGAGAGTCTGGAGTAACCAGAAAAGTGCTCATGGGGGGAAAGCAAGGATTTTTTTTTTTTTTTAAGAGAAGGAAGGAAGGAGTAATGACGTGATTTAGATAAAGAAGAGAAGAAAAAACCCCTTCTAATTTGGTGCTGACTGGTTAAGCCACTTCTGATTACTGTTATTGATTATTTTATTATCGGTGCTATCAAATGAAACTATCCCTGGTATTAACATTACCTACCTCACATGACCCAAATGCCAGTTGCTCTGTTGAAATTTTTTTTTTAATGTTTATTTATCTTGAGAGAGAGAGAGAGAGCACGCGAGCAGGGGAGGGGCAGAGAGAGAGAGGGAGACAGAGAATCTGAAGGAAGCTCCAGGCCCTGAGTTGTCAGCACAGAGCCCGATGCGGGGCTCAAACTCATGAGTAGTGAGATCATGACCTGAGCCGAAATCGAGAGTTGGATGCTTAACTGACACCCAGGCGTCTGACTGTGTTGAAATGTTATGAGCAACTGCTTGTAAAGCTATTGCTGCTTCTGGGCCAGTTCAAGAGTTCATTAGTTGGAAAAGAAAACGGAGCTTCAAAATGGAGTCTCCTATGCCCAGAAATTTTATACAATTCCACAGTCTCTGGCTGTATCTAAAACGAGGGCCCAAAGTGAATCTGCCTTGGTTTAGAAATTGGATCTGGTTATTCAAAACAATTCTGAATTACTAGATGTGGAGGTAGCCTTGGGACTCTGGGTCTTACTTAACGCCTGCTTCTTCCTCGGTGAGCAATGGTTCTGGTGGAGAGAAGGGCAGATGTGCAGCCTCTGAGGCGGCCAGCTCCTACACTCATCTTTATGGTTGGCTTGGAGGACTTGGCTTGGCCAAGGTCCGGCTGAGAGGTGATCTGAAAGGGCCTGGGCTAGAAGATGTGGGCAGGGAGTGCCGGCCACACCCAACAGTAGGTACAAATGGGTCGACTGTGCCTTGGTCTTGACCAAAATGCCCGACCGGCTTGCCACTGTTTGACCGGTACGTGTGACTCATAGCAGTTTCCCCGCTAGTGTAAAACCACGTTTCAGTCAACTTCACCGCCCACTGTCCATGCAGGGCCCTCGCCTCCATCCTCGCAGCATGGCTGGCCTCTCCTGAGCTTCACTCAGCATGCTGTCGTGTAAGAGTGGTCCTGGTGGTCCTGGCTCTGCCTCCACACCTTGTCAGTATGAGGCTGCCCTGGCCTGGGAAATGGGACACTGCTCTCTTTCCTGCTATTCCCTGCAGGTGGGAAGCTTTTCTGTTCATGCCCAGCAATGCGGCTGAGATCAGGCTGACATATTGAATAGGGCTGTACCGGAGGCCCGGACAAGTGGAGGGCCGTGAGATGCAGAGCGTCCTGCATATCCCTCCACGAGAAATGGTGGCTCTTTAGGGTCACCAGACTGTCCTTGGGAGCATGGGCCTCCATGCAGAGTTGTGACGGTCGTCCTCTTTCTTCCAAAGAGAGGGCCCTCTCTGCCTTTGCTGGACCCAGGCCTTCAAGCAGGAGAGAGAGTGGAGACTTGAATTCACCTTTGGGACAGACCTGTCCCAGGCTCAGTGAGGAAAGGAAATGCCGTTTTACTGCAGCTTGGGACTCAGATCCTCTCATTTCCTGTGCGTGGATCTGCTTTCCCAGGACATCTGACAGAGAGGTTGCTCATCCAGTTCTGGAGAGGGCCGGCAGCCCCTGGGCAGAGTGGCCCTGCAGGATGGGCACCGCAGGGCCATAGCTCACCGAGCCGCGTGGCCGTATCTGTGTATGGAGGACGTCAAGAGCACAGCCCCTCAGCATCAGGTGAAGCTCACGTTTGCCCAGAACATCCACATTCAGGTTCCTGGTGGCTGCCCACTTCCCCTTGGGATCACGTATGGGCCTTGGCCGCACACAAGGTGGTTTTTTCAGAAGAAGGGGTGGATTTCAGTACCGACTCCTCCTTTGGACACAAACTGCCTGGAGCCTTGGGGTGTAGCCTATCTGGAGCTTAAAGCTTCCAGGCTCAGGTCCCGGCTGGAGCACCCCGTGTGGTGCTGTGCTCGTGTCTGTCCCCGCTTCCCCACACCAGCTATTTGGAAGCTCTCCATTCCCTTCAGTTCTCCTACTGTATCACCTGCTCTTTGTTCTTGGCCGCTGCCCTAATTTTAGAAGAAAATAGAACCACCCCCCTCAGCTTCCATCCGCATAACTACACAGGTAGGAGTAGTGGCTCCCAGCCTCTGCCCCCTTTCTCCTGTCATCCTGGAGGAGGTCTGCTGCCCCAACAAACCTGGCTCCCCCATATTCAGACTGATGGCTGTGGAAGGCAGCCTTTAAAAGGTCTCTGGTTCTGTCTTGCCCTCTCTTGGTCCTTCACTTGCTTGCTATCCTAGAAGCTGGCTGCCATGTTGTGAGCTGCCCAATGGAGAGGCTCACAAAGCAAGACCAGATTTCCTCAGTCCAACAGCCTGAGAGGAACTGAGTCCTGCCACGAGCCATGTGAGTCAGCCTGGAAGTGAACCCTCCCTCAGTCAAGCCTTCGGATACCAAGGTATCCCAGCAGATACCTTGATTGAAATACTCTGAGCCAGAGGGCCCAGTGAAGCCCATCCAGATTCCCAGCTCACAGGAATTATCAAGTAATAAGTGTCTCTTCCTATAAACTGCTAAATTTTGGAGTAATTTATATATAACTATAGATAATGCACAGGCTTGTCAGATTTTCAGCCCTGAACATTTTGAAAAAAATTTGGGATGCACATAAGGTTGCCACTTTTTATTTTTCAAAATATGTCTTGAAAAATAACCACAAAGTTTTACTTTTCTTAATATTTTTTATTAAAATAGGAGCACTTTTTCATTTTAATTTTTTTTATCACAGTGTTATTTACATACAATTCATCCACTTAAAAAATTAACCGACTAAGCCACCAGGCACCCCAGTTTTTTTAAAATAAATATAATGTAGTACTGTAAATGAAGTTTCTCATGATTTTCTTAACATTTTTCTCCAGCTTTATTATAAGAATACAGTATGTAATACATACACAAAATATGTGTTACTTGATTGTTTATATTATCAGTAAGGCTTCTGGACATCAGTAGGCTATTAATAGCTAAGTTTTAAGGGAGTAAACATTATATGTAGATTTTTTGTGTGTGCAGGGGGTCGGCACCCCACTCCCCAGTGTTGTTCAAGGGTCAGCTATATATGTACAATATAATAGTAATACATCTTTTTAAAAAATATTTATTTTGAGAGAGAGAGTGTGTTCACAAGCAGGGGAGGGGCAGAGAGGGAGGGAGAAAGAGAATCTCAAGTGGGGCTTGATCCCACGAACCACAAGATCATGACCAGAGCCAAAATCAAGAGTCAGATGCTCAACCAACTGAATCACCCAGGCGCCCCAGAATAAATCTTGAAAAGGAATGAAATTCTGATCATGCTACAACATGAATGAACCTTAAGACGTTATGTTAAGTGAAATTAAGACACGAAGGATAAATATTACATGAGTCCACTTATATGAAGATCCTAGAATAGGCAAATTCGTACAGACAGAAGGTAGAATAGGACTGAGTAGTTATGAAGGGCAAGGGAGAGGGAGGGGTGGTGAGTTATTATTTCATGGGCACAGAGCTTCAGTTTTGCAAGCTGAAAAGAGTTCTGCAGATGGATGTGGTGATGATTGCAAAACAGTGTGGATATGCTTAATGCTATTGAATTGTCCTCTTAAAAATGGTGAAAATGGTAAATTTCATGTTGTGTATATATTACCACAATAAGAAAAGTCCTTTTCTCCAGTTTTGAGCTCCCATGACTTCAAGACCCGTTTCTTCAGGTGCTGGGTGTTTCTTAATTTGGAGATCTCACCTCCCAAATCTGCTCAGAACTGAATTCCTGAGGTCCCATGCTGGGCTCTAAGTTTTAGCCCTGTGGGAACACACTCATAAGTTTAGTCACTTACCTGCAAAGCCAGGACAGAAGGGACTGGAGCTCCCTGCCTCCTCTATGACCCTTGGCTCCTTCAGGCCAGCCCAGATGACTTCCCCTCCAACAGACAGACATTCAAACAAGCACACAAACAGCATCTTCCTCTTTACTTTCTGGTGGGTTCCTCCTTGGAGCCCTTGGTGTCTTTCCCT